TCCTCCAGGGTTGCCTTTTTATGATCCAACTTTGAAGAACTGTTACCACATTAAAAGTGCTTCAGGTATTTCATGTTTGTCACATAATCAGTACAGGGTGTCAAACATGGATGCAAGAATCTCTTCCCATTCCTCTGATTGATATATTCATCAATCACAGGAAGAACATCTCTATTTCTGAGAATACTTACCCTGAGAAAAAATACAGTCTTCTACTCTTTCATGCTACACATACCTTGGAAAAAGACAATCCTAATATGTATACCATTGTGCAGTATTTCCACAACAAAACATTTATAAGGGGCATGTTGTTAGTTTGTAGAGATCTTGTTTTAAATGTCAATGTACAGTTGTCTTAACAGAGCACATTTATAAATGACAGAAAAATAATAAAATAGAACAAAGGCACAAGAAAAGAGCAACTAAGAGAAAAAGAAGATAGCAATTAAGAAAAAAATTTAACAAAAATACCTCTTAGTACAGGGAGGTACTGGTTTGGTGTTGGTGAAGCACACCTTAAATCCCAGGATTTGGAAGGCAGAGGCAGTAGGATCTCAGTGAGTTCAACGCCAGCCTGTTTTACAGAGCGAGTTCCAGGACAGCCTCAAAAACAATATAGAAAAAAACCTGCCTCAAAAAAGCCAAAATGGAGGTACTAAAACAATAATTGACATACACTTAATCTGTTAGAAGATCTCCAAAGTTCATCAAAAACTCCTGTAGAAACATCATTGATAAAACTCTTAAAACATTCCATTCATCCAAGTCCATAGAAAGCCAGTCTTCTTTGGAAGACACAGTATAATCACAGATGGGATGGTGGACAGTCTAATGCTACATATTATCTTTGAATGGTGTGGCATAAGAAATACCAGAAAATAACTAGTGATCATGCATTATGCATTTGTTCCCTTGTGAAGAATTCAAGCATAGACAGTTGCAAGCGACTTACCAGAGTGATTGTTATAACTAGTAAATGTAGAATACCACATATAATATTCCTTACCAAGAATTAATATCTAATAAATACTGGTCTCCAGTGGATGATATGTATAGATGAAATCCTCATAAAAATTGTAGGTTGGCACAGGATATAATCCATAGATCACACAGGAAAGACATCTACTCTTCTCAGCAAAGTTGAATTTTATATAAGAGCAGATAACAACACTGACTGGTAACCATGCACACACTAATATATAACACAAAGTCCAGAGGCTGCTCTTTAGAACTCAGATGTGGTAAACAGGCAAAGATTAAGCAAATGATATTTATTAAATTAATAGTGAAAGATCTCCCATGCTCTTGGATAGGTGGGATCAATGTAGTAAAAATGGCAATCTTGCCAAAAGCAATCTACAGATTTAATACAATCCCCATTAAAATACCAGCACAATTCTTCACAGACCTTGAAAGAACAATAATCAATTTTGTATGGAAAAACAAAAGACTCAGGATAGGCAAAACAACCTTAGTCAATGAAGCAACACCATCCCCGACATCAAAAGCTCTACTATAGAGCTGTAGTCCTGAAAACAGTTTGGTATTGTCACAAAAATAGACAGGTAGACCAATGGAATCGAATTGAACATTCTTAGATTAATCCACAAACCTATGAACAGCTCATTTTCGACAAAGATGCTAAAATTATACAATGGAAAAAAGATAGCATCTTCAACACATGGTTTTGGCATAACTGGACATTAGCATGTAGAAGATTGCAGATAAATCCATGTCTATTGTCATGCACAAAACTTAAGTCCAAATGGATCAAAGACCTCAACATAATTCCAGCCACAATGAACTTGTTAGAAGAGAAAATGAGAAGTGCCCTTGAATGGTTTGGTACAGGAGACCACTTCCTGAACATAACACCAGTAGCACAAACACAGAGATTGACAATTAATAAATGGGACCTCCTGAAACTGAGAAGCTTCTGTAAGGCAAAGACACAGTCAGAAAGACAAAAAGACAACCCACAGTTTGGGAAATGTTATTCACTAACCCCACATATGACAGAGCTCTGATCTCAAAAATTTACAAAGAACTCAAGAAGCTATTCTCCAGGAAAAACAAAGGACCCAATTAATAAATGGGGGACTGAACTAAATAGAGATTTCTCAATAGAGGAGACTAAAATGACTGAGAGACACTTGAGAAAGTGCTCAACATCCTTACCCATTAGGGAAATGAAAAGTAAAACAACCCTGAGATAACATTTTACTCCTGTCAGCATGTCTAAAATCAAAAACACCAATGACAGCTTATGCTGGACAGGATGTGGAGAAAGGGGAACACTTGTCCATTGCTGGTGGGTATGCAAACTTGTGCAGCCACATTGGAAATCAGTATGTAGATTCCTCAGGAAAATTGGAATCAGTCTACCACACGACCCACCAATTCCACTCTTAGGCATATACCCAAAAGATGTCCATTCATACAACAAGGATGTCTGTTCCACTATGTTCATAGAAACATTATTTGTAATAGCTAGATGCTGGAAGCAACCTAGATGCCCGACAACTGAAGAGTGGACAAAGAAAATGTGTTACATTTACACAATGGAGTACTACTCAGCAGAAAAAAACAACAGGAATGTCTCATGTCATTAAGTAGATGTCAAACAAAAAAGGAACTCAGGGATATTTTTGGATATTATTTGTCTCATAATGTTTCTATGGACTTTTTTTCCTCCTACAAGATATATATATATATATATATATATATATATATATATATAAAATTTGGTTTCTACCATTGTGATTTGTTTGATCTCTTCATGGCAATCTTGTCATTCTGTGTCTATATTTCTTTCCTTTACTTTTCCTTTGGTGGTTTTTTTTTTGGTTTTTCGAGACAGGGTTTCTCTGTGGCTTTGGAGGTTGTCCTGGAACTAGCTCTTGCTAGACCAGGCTGGCCTCGAACTCACAGAGATCCACTTGCCTCTGCCTCCCAAGTGCTGGGATTAAAGGCGTATGCCACCAACGCCCGGCTCCTTTGGTGCTTTTTGTTAATTTGTTTAGTCCTGCCCCAGTTTGTTTCTGTTTAATCTTATTCTATTCTAACATGGCTTTAGGTTCCCTTTCATTTTCCAATGAAAGGTATAAAAATGGAGTTGGGGTAGGGTGGGAGGAGTAGGATGAGTGGAGATAGTATGAAAAAAATTTCAATAAAAAGAAGAGGAAAGAATTCTCTAAAAATGAAAGAAAAGAATGAAGAAAGAGAAAGGAAGGAAGGAAAAGAGGGATGGAGGGAGGGAAAGAGGGAGGGAGAGTTGATTCTGGCAATATCTTTTTTGTATCAGTCTCCCATCTGCCCTACATTCAGGAACCAGTAGTACTTGCATATCTGACTCTCTGGCCCTTTCACCCAAACTTGATGGCTTTGCCTCTGTATAATTCATTCCAGGATCTTTTCCTTTTGATGAGGATATGTGTGATGATCTTGAAATCTAATGGAGGAAATGTCAGATAATCTCCAATTTTGAGATACATAATTTAATCATAGACCAATAACCAGTCTAATATTCATCAAACCCTGGAAATGTAACCCAAGTGTTAGTGCAGCTCTTACACCCTGTTCCAGTCTAAGGGTTCAATGCCTCCCTGGTCCTCAGCCTTCTGTGATTTGTTATCTTTTCAGTGTTTCTTACTTTGTATTATGATCATATATCATGGTTTGGACCAATAGTGGCATGTTTATCTTCCAGAGTCTTAAAATTTGAAATTGCTTCATGCATAAATATGATTTTTGTGAAGCCATCTTTAATGAAATCAGGAGTTCACTTAAACTTCTTTACATATATTCAGTTATGATCACATTAATGCATAAGTTGGTCAATATGTAAATGTAAGTCAATGTGCAAGTTGTCCAAAGTCAGGCAAAACACAAATATCTATGTGATGTTTTAAAAAACAACAAAATTTATAAGAAAAAAATGTTTTAACATTTCTGATAGCAGTGAAGAAAATCCCCAAGGCCTGTGAGCCCCATCTTCCATTATCCTCTGCTTACTCTCTCGTCTTCTGGAATATCTGAGGATTTTGAGTAAACTACTTCACTCTGCTTATAGTTTATGATTTCTTTTTTTGGCTGTATCATTTTTTATTATGAATTCTAATGGGACACCAACATAGAACAACACCATTTCCATAACCCATCACCATCACAGGAGTCTGTCATCACAGACGAGTAGTATGGGTGCAATGCATTCATCAAGAAAGTTGGAGGTTCAAGCTTTCCTGGATCCAGTGTACACCACAGGATGTTGCTGTACACCTTGGCCCACCTGCCTTTACATTTCAATCATACTATATAGTGTTCAGTATTTACATACATTTGAACAGAGAAGACATAATATATGTTACAAGGATAACATTTGTGGAGTTATGTGTCAGTAAGAACTCTGTATTTCCACTCTCTTTATGTCATTAGCTACTTTTGAGAAGAACAGTTCCATATAAACACATGAGCTGGAACATACATTTAGAAAACTTTAACCTATATAAACTGCATTGTGTCTACCCATAGCAAATCAACTAAGCCTTGTTCCCCCTAATGTTAAACAACAAAAAAGTAGCTAGCTATCACACTTTATAGTAGATTCCAGACAATATATAAGGTGATCACTGGCATTCTGGGCCAGATGGGTTCCATGTTTACTTCTGTCATTCTGGGATTTGTTCCTTTCTGTCAAAGTGTTCTCATACATTGGCAAGAGCATTTACATTAAACTTCAAATTACTCCTGCTTACATCCAGAGTATATATATATATATATATATATATATATATATATTAAATAATATATATATTAAAAGCCTTTAAAAGGAGTTGGTTTTCCAACAGTTATGCCAATATTTGGCCATGTTAGCAATTACTGAAACAACAGTGGAGACTCCGGGGACAGGCAGTTGCCCTGGATCACCATGTACAGGCCCAAGAATCTGGCCAAGCGGTTCAACTTAGTTCTTCTTGTTTTTCCTGAGATAGGGATTGATTTCATAGGGACTTGTTGAAACCCATAGTTATTTTAAAATAAATCCAACGAGGCAAGGCTGAGTTTATTGAACCCATGAGAGCATGGATCGCATATCCAGTGGTTCGGGACTGCAAACCCACTGTTTTAATTGCAGACTTCACAAACGTCTCTGGAGAGGGCTTATCCAAAGTTGGTTTCCGTATTTTTGCCAGTTTTGTAGCTACAAAGTATGGCAGGACACTCTGCACAAAGATGCCTTTGCTCTTATACTCCTCATGGAGGCACTGAGAGAAGAAATCTACAAAAGCCTTGGTTGCAGAGTAAATGGTCAAGAGTGGAATTGGGAGCATGCCAGTGGCAGATGAAATGTTGACAATCACCCCTTTAGACCTTTCTACCATGCCAGGCAATACCAAGCGTGTCACCTTGCAAACGGAAAGAACATTACTATTTATCAGTTTCTTGATGGTATTGTCCAAGTCAGGAACTTCCAAAAAGAATTCTGGATACTCGTATGACATCCCCACGTTGTTCACTAAAACACCAATTTCTTTTTTTATTTTATTTTCCAGTTTAAAATTAGATAATAAACGAGGTTGCTTCACAAGTCAGTTCCAGGTCCCTCTCCTATTCCCTCCCCTCCTCCCATGCCATCCCCGAACCCACCCCCTGTTATTCCCTCATTCCCCCAGGGAGGGTCAGGCCCTCCATGGGGGTGTCCATAGTCTGTCATTTCATATAGGGCAGGGCCTAGACCCTTCCCCAAGAGTTCAGGGTGAGAGGGCACCTCACATTGTTCTATGGGAGTCCAAAGTCCGTGTGTATACTTGGGATGGGTACTGATCTGCTGCCCAAGGCTCAATAGATTCCCTAGGGCTCCTCACTGACACCCAGATTCAGGGGGTCTTGATCAGTCCCATGCTGGATTCCCAGGCTGATGCCTGGGATTCAAGAGTTAACCTTTGTCTGGTCAGCTGTTTCTGGGGGTTAAACCAGCCCAGTCTTAATCCCTTTGATCATCAGTCCTCCCTCTCTGTTACTGGCTTTCTTGAGTTCAGCTCAGTACTTACAAGGGAGTCTGCCTCTTCTTCGATCAGCCACTAAACGAAGTTTCTGTTTCCCAGACTCTCTGGCCATAGGATTGTAGGCTGGCACTTCCCAGATCTATGTCTAAAATCCATATAGGAGAGAGTACATGCCATGTTTCTCTTTTTGTGACTGGGTTACCTCACTCAGGATGGTTTCTTCTAGTGTCATCCATTTGCCTGAGAATCTCATGATTCCATTATTTTTTTCTGCTGAATAGTACTCCATGGTGTAGATGTACCACATTTTCTCTATCCACTCTTCGGGTGAGGGACATCTAGGTTGCTTCCAAGTTCTGGCTATTACAAATAAAGCTGCTATGAACATAGTGGAACAGACATCTTTGTTGTATGAATGGGCATCTTTTGGATATATGCCTAAGAGTGGAGTTGCTGGGTCTTGTGGTAGGTTTATTCCCATTTTTCTGAGGAATCTCCATACTGATTTCCAAAGTGGTTGAACCAGTTGGCACTCCCACCAGCAATGGAGGAGTGCCCCCCTTTCACCACATCCTCTCCAGCATAAATTGTCATTGGTGTTTTTGATTTTAGCAATTCTGACAGGAGTGAGACTAAAACGCCAATTTCAAGACTAGCCAAGCCTGTCTTAATTTTATCAGAAATATCATCCAATGTAAATTCAACAGCAATGGTCCTTGTTTCCACTTTGAATTTTTCTTTGATCTCGCTGGAAACCTGATTCAGTTTATCCTGGGACCTGCTAATTAGGACAATCTTCATCCCACGCTTTGCTAACTCTTCTGCATATGATTTTCCAATTCCATCAGTGCCACCTGTAACAACTGCCCATTCTCCGAGCAGCGGGCTGACCCAAGTCTCGTTGCCCAAGCACCACACTTGGAAGGCCCTGAAGAGCAAGTACGAGGCGCGCAGGATCAGGTAGGCCACGGTGCTCGCGCCCACCCAGTACAGGAATCCGGCCGCTGGGAGAGCACGCTCCATGGCTGGGGAATAGGCCTCACCGTGAATGGTGCAGGGAAAAAAAATAAACGAATGAATGGAGAGAGGAGGCAGTGCCAGCCGTGACGGCGAGGACGCTGCTGACAGACGTCGTCATAGTTTATGATTTCTACTGTTCTTTTCACAGTTGCCAGAAAATGTGGACAAAATAAAGACGACTGTAGAGTAAGTAGAAATCTCAAACATGTGTCCCAAGTCATGAATGATGAATAAATACAATGAACTATCACACTGTTCCATGGAATTTTAGAGTTAATAATTGCCAACCAGAGTGGCTAGCAGACATTTGGTGGAATGTCAATAAGTACTACAACCCATCCTTGAAGATCTGGCTCACAGTCTCCAAGGACACTTCCAACAACCAGGCATTCCTCAAGATCACCAGTGTGGACACTGCAGATACTGCCACACACTACAGTGCTCGAGGAACACATTGACACAGCCTCGGCTGACAGCTGTGTAGTATTTCAGGCTGGTTCTTAGCTCTGTGTCCTCCATCTACCAGTCATGGGTTGGGAGTGGGCACACATTTCCTGTTAGCCTTTGTGGCTTCCTCTTCACCCTGAGATTCAGATCCCTGGATTCCTGTTATACAAAGGAGACCCCTCTTAAAATTTGTTCAGAAATGAAAATCTGTCTGTTTGGTTTTGTAAAGATTAATGGTGTATGGTTCCTAATCCAGGTGGATCAGGGCAGTGGTTCCTTTCAGTCTTTGGCCTCAAATACCCAGAATAACAGATTCTAAATGAATAGCAGACTGACATCTCTGGATAAGCTTTTATAAATTGAGTCATTAGCTTAAGTAACACCAAGGAAACCACAAAATATATCAGGCTATTTCCAAGGCAATTTGTTACTCTCCACAAACAGATGGTAGAATCCTATTGTGAAAACAACACTTACATCTCATTGTACATGGAGGATTTGATCTGGTGACTTACTGTAGACCTCAGTTCATAGTAGTAGATGGAACTTGGTATGTTCTCTGTGGAGTATCATCCTAAAGCACTCCATGATCTACAGTGGTGATCTGCTCACAAGGTTGAATTTAAAGCCCATCTATGAATGCACACAATGCCTGAAACCACTAGAATGTTCCAGAATCTGAGACAACATATGCCATTGGCTTATGGGAAACCAAATGTTCTGTCAAGCAGTGGTTTTCAACCTGTGGACAATAACGACAATGGAGACTGAACAACCCAGGAGTCCTAGGACTCTTTCCCTGGGGTCACATATCAGATATCATGGATGACAGATATATACATTATGGTTCAGAGTGGATGAATTACTATTATGAAGTAGAAACAAATAAATTATGTTATGAGTCATCCCATCATTAAGAAGTTATTAAAAAGTTGCAGCAATTATAAGTTTGAGGACAAATGTGCTAAAGGAATATAAAAATAAATTAATTCTGAATGGCATGACCATATGTGCACATTAATCTGTGCCTCACACAACTATCATTAGTGAAGCTCCTTCATGCAACACGTGGCAGTTATCATGAAGGCTCTCAAATGAACAAAATATCCAGCATGAAAGATAAATGTGCACTCAATCAAAAATGGTTTTCTAAAGCAAAATTTCTCCTCAGGACTCAAGACAGGTGCAGGAAAAGAGATAGAAAGATTTTCAGACGCACAGGTGTTGAATGTGTTCAAGGATACAGTCTCTTTCAGGCACAATAGGACTGATGCACACATAAACACACTATACTATAGAAGGTTCAAGCCAGGAGGGAGTCTAATGCTGAAAGGGAACCTCAATCCTAAACTAGAAACTATCTGCAATTAGTACTTACATGCGAAGGAAAAAAATAATGTACTTCAGTGGAATGTCACTAACTGTATTAAACACTCTTCACAGCAGGTATGATGCCTAAGACCAAAACAAAACATGCAAAATTGTATGTTTGTATGATTTTTGTTGCAGATAAATTTATTTAGGCATTTTTTGTCTTCTTAGTCTTTTGTTTGTATAATTACATTTCTGATTTTGTTTTGTGTGCTTGAGTATGTTTGTATGTGTGTGTCTGAGAGAGAGAGGAGAGACAGAGATAGAGATAGAGAGAGAGACAGAGACAGAGACAGAGAAAGAAAGAGGAAGACAGAGACAGAGATTTTTTCTTGTGGCATTTTCTTGTGAGGGGATCTATGATTACTGGAGAAAAGGTAAATTATGATTACAATGCAATGCTTAAAAACTAATTTTTCACTAAAAAATTTTCGAATCCCCCTTCCAAAATCATTTATTGATTGTTATTTGATAAATTAGGATGAATTGGATAGACCTAGTATGTTAATATATGTATCTGACATGTGTACAAACACCTGTTTGGAGAGATATCAGCCTTTTCTGGTAAGTTGCCGATTGCACTGTTGATAATTTCTGTCTTCCTGCAATGGCAATAATGAGGTAGGAATCTATGGAGATTTCTATATGTTTCATTGCTCAGTTGTTTTCTCAGAACATGTGCAGTGTCATCAGAGATATGTGCTCCTTTCCAGACTTTGTCAAACACAGACACAGTTAGACAGTTCTCAGTTACAGCAAAGAAGGTATTTAAGTTGCCATCAGATTATTGTTTGTTATCCTATAATACACCAACATCAAGAGACCATGGATGCCAGACAAGACTACTATACCCAGCAAAGCTTTCAATCAAAAAAGATGGAGAAAACAAGATATTTCATGACAAAACCAGATTTAAACAATACATATCCAAAAACCCAACCCTACAGAAAATTCTGGAAGGAAAACTCCAACCCAAGGAAGTTAACTAAAACAAAAAAACCATAGCCAATAGATAATCCCACTTTACTAACAGGCAAAATAAAAATGGTGGAAATTCACATACCATTCCACCAACAGCAACCATTCCAAAACAAATGAGAATGAGTTATCAATGGTCATTAATTTCCCTCATGTTAATGGTCTTAACTTACCCATAAAAAGACACAGGCTAACAGAATGGATTGAAGACAGAATCCATCCTTCTGCATACAAGAGACACACCTCATCTTCAAAGACAGACATTATTTCAGAGTTAAGGGTTGGGAAACTATTTTCTAATCAAACGGCCCCAAGATACAAGTGGGAGTAGCAATCCTAATATCTAACAAATTATACTTAAAACTAAAATCAATAAAAAGAGATGAAGAATGTCACTTCATACTCATCACAGGAGAAATCCACCAAGATGAAATCTCAATTCTGAATTTCTATGCCCCAAATAAAAAGCCATCTATATTTTTAAAAGAAACATTACTAAAATTCAAAGGACATATAAAAACTCACACAGCGAGGGGTGGGGGGGAGTGGGACCTGGGAAGAATAGAGGGGGTAAAGAGGAAGGGAGTTGGTCATGGGGGAACAGGAAGTTGAGGGGGTGGGGGTAGAATAGGGGGAAGAGGGAATCATAGGATCGAAGACAGATCAGGCACCAGAGTGACCTCAAGTGACCTAAAGGTATAACATCAATTGGCAATCTAAGCAATAGTGGAGGGACCACCTCGAATGCCCATTCCTGATAATGAACTTGATTTCTATAACCATCCGTGAGGCTTCATCCTGTGACTGATGGAAGCATAGGCAAACATACAACTAATCACTGAACTGAACCCAAGGAACCCAGTGACAGAGAGAGAGGAGTGATGAGCAAATTGGCAAAGAATGGGCTGGCAAAACCAGCAGGGACAGCTGATCTGAACAGGGGAGTGCTCTTGGACCCCAGACCGACAGTGGGGAGGCCAGCATGGGACTGATCTGGACCCCCAAATGTGAGTGTCAGTGAGAAGGCCTGGGCAACCTATGGGGCCCTGAGCTGTGGATCAGTGTCTATCCCTGGTATACAAACTGTCTTCATGTGCCTATAGCACAAAGAGAGATGCTCTCTCAGCCTGGACTCTTAGGGGAGTGCCTTGACCCTACCAAGAGTAAAATGACAGACTCTAGATATCGCCTATGTGGAAGGATTTGGCAATAGGGTGGGAGGGAGGGGGGAAGGGGAGTGCAGGAAGAGGAGGGAGAGGGAACAGGGATTGACATGTAAAACAAGCTATTTAAAATTAAAATAAAAAATGATAAAAAACTCACACACTTTTAATGTGAGACTTCAACACCATACTCTCAACACTAGACAGGATGTGAAGTATCTAAAAGAAGTTAAGACCCAATTGTGTTTAAAAGACATCTATAGAACACTCCATCCAAACACAAAACAATATACCTTCTTCTCAGCACCACATGAAACCTTCTCAAAATCGAACACATACTTAACAACATAGGAAACATCAACAGGTTCAAAAAATTTGAATAACTCTGTGTATCGTATCAGACCACCATGTTTTAAAATTAGAACTCAACAACAACAGAAATCTCAGAAACTCTGCAAACATATGGAAATTGAATAATGCACAATTGCACCACTCCTGGTCAAAGAAGAAATGAAAAAATACATTAAAGACTCCAAATAATTCAATGAGAATGAAGACAATGCATACCCAAACTCATGGGACACTATGAAAGCAGTGCTAAGAGGAAACTTCATAGCACTTAGTGCCCATGTGAAGAAACTGGAGAATAGTCACATTACAGAATTGCCAGCAATGCTTAAAGCTCTAGAACAAAAGGAAGCAAACTAACCACTGAGGAGCAGACACCAGGAAATAATTAAATTGAGGGCTAAAATCAATAAAGTAGAAGCTAGAAAAACAATACAAAAAATCAATGTAACAAAGAGTTGGTTCTTTGAGAAAATCAATAAGATACACAAACCTTTATCCAAACTTACCAAACAGCAGAGTATGAACATTCAAATAACAAAATCAGAAATGAGAAGGAAGACATAACAACGGACAGTGAGGAAATGCAGAAAATCATCAGGTCATACTTTGAAAAACTGTACTCCACAAAATTAGAAAATTTAAAGGAAATGGACATTTTTTGGATAGACATCACTTGCCAAAATTAAATCAAGA